GCCGGACACGGAAAAAAGACAAAAGACAAAAAATAAAAATAAAAATAAATAAATAAATAAAATTCACAAGCTTTCAGCAGCCCATTATAAAAAGTACCATAGAGTGCATGCTAAGCAACGTTATAAAAACAACCTTTTCTTGTAAACATCTTTGATATAAAATATGTGTATGTTTGTTCGGATTTGGCTTTTTGCTTTTCTTCTTTAGAAGGAAAAATGAGAAGCTGTTGTCAAAACACAATTATCTGGAAGGCAAGAAGGAAGGCACAGACAAGGGTGAGTTTTAGCCTCTCTCTGTCCTGGAGCTCCTTTAGTCCACACACTCTTCCTCGGCCTCTTCTCTAAGCACAGTACCGGGCACAGTGCAGAGCTGATCCAGCATATATACTGCCTGCCTCCCAGCTCAGGGGCTGCAGAACCAGCTGATCCCTTCTGTGGGTAGGCTGCCTCTCTCTGCTGTTTCTTCTACTTTAAACTGAGATAAACCACAAAATGAAGTTTTCCAGGATGACATGAGAAATAAAACCAGTACTACCAGAATACTCCAGAATCCCTGGTTAAAAACAGAATGAGAATTGGGGTGATATAGCAGTCCCACTAAATCTCCAGTGATTTTTTTTTTTTTTAATAAAACAAACCAAGGAAACACCTACACTGCTGGCTGCTTCAGAAACCAGTAAGATCACAAGAGCCTGTCCCTCGGTACACAGTGAACTGGAGAAAGGGGAACTACCATCTCAGTGATACTAACATCTGAACAGTGATCGCCTGAAGAATTCCCCACACCTATGTATATAAAGTAGTTAGTGGGGGCTGGCCTAGCTAAACTTAACACATGCATAATTTCTAAAGCATCTGACATTGCCAACCAAACAGTCATTTTTTGGATATTTTCCAGTTGGGTATTTTGTTTTTGCTATATTTAAGCATTTCCTGATTTTCTCTGCTTCTATTCCTTTTCGCCCACCCACTCAGCTGTTCTCGTTGATGCCAGTGCCTACAGGAGAAGTGAACAGCAAAGAGGAGAGAGAAGCAAGGCCGGAAGGAAGACAGAGGTCCAGAAAGGTTTCGGCAGAGCCTCAGCTCAAGCCCACTCTGAACAAACCCCTTCACGTACCTGCGAAGAGCCTCCAGGAAGACATCTCCTCCCACCATGTCGATGGCCACGTGCACCCCACCAGTGCCCACCAGCTTCCTCACTGCCTCCTTCAGGCTGCCCTGACTGTAGTTCACGCTGGACTGTGCACCCCGCTGCATTGCCAGCTTGCACTTCTCGTCACTTCCGGCGACAGCTATTACCTGCATGAAGAACACAAGGTTTCTGATGGCCCAGAACATGTCCCAAGAGGGGTGCACCTCACCTACCCAGCCTCCGGCCAAAGGGTGCTACTCAAGGAAACCAATGCGACCTTGCTACCCTCAAGTTGGCCTCAATCCCACAGGCCCTCCATGCCCAACTGGCCACAAGGTCCACACTTCTAGGAATCCTGGAACCCCAACAGGTCTAACTAAGAGATGGTTCAAGAGACACTCATGAAGTCTTCTCCAAATGCAAATGAAACCACCATTTATTGAGCATCTACTATGAGTCAAATAGTTAGGATATAAGCTGGATATTAAGCTTAGAGTCAAAAAAGCAAGATACAGCAGTGGAATGGGGTAAGTACAGAGAGTTCTAGAAGTGCAAACAAGAGGTACCCAATCTAGATCTAGAAGATCAGCAAAGGCTCCACAGAGAGTGAAACAAGATTCAGTGGAAAGATCTTGAAGTCAGACAGACCTCAGTACAAATCCTGACTCTGCCACTCTCTGTGTTATGTTAGGCACATCACTTCTTAAGGACTAACACATTGTGATACTATTTGACAGGCACCGTTCTAAATGTTTTACATATATTAATAACTCATTTCATCATAATAACCCAATGAAATACACATTATTATTATTCTTGTTTTATAGATGAAAGAAACTGAGGCAAAAGAAGTCAAGTAACTTGCCCAAGGAAGTCACACAGCCAATGAGAGGCAGAGCTGGGATCCAAACCCACATAATCCTTCCCAAGTCCACACTTTTAACCTCTACACCACCTGCCAGCTTCTCTAGGTTTCAGTTATCTCCTAGATAAAATATGACTTATTTTAATAATTAAATGTAACACTGTACGCATAGCTCTTGGAAACAAAGTGTTAGATAAACTGAAGCTATTGTTACACATATGCAATTGTGTATTCTATTTAAACCTCATAAAAACATCATGAAGGAGGTATTAATTAGTCCCATTCTAAAGCTGGAGACTCATTCTATAGATGGAGACTCATTCTATAGACTCTGAGAGGTTAAGCAATCAACCCAGAGTCATCCAGGTAGCAGGTGGTAGAACAACTGTTCAAACCCAGTGTTGCCTCACTCCAAAGTCCATGCTTTTCAACTCCATCCCCCGAGGAGAAAACCCTGCCTAAGGCCTGGTATAGACGGCATAGATGGCATAGATGGGCCACCCTGGGGGGGAAGTCTGGGCATTGGAAGTCTCCAGAAAAGCTGCAAACATTCAAACAACCCCTAGAGGTGCCTCATCACTGGGCAAGCCCCACCAGCACAAACATCTTGGCCCCAGGGTGATGCTCAGAACTTGCACTCAAACACTCCAAGAATCAGTACCCTTCAAAGATTCCAAACTCGCCTACAGCTTTTTGAAACTAAAAGCTAGCCTCGAATACTCCCTGGTGGAGACCTCACCTAGCTGCAGTTCACTGAGGGCTATTAGCACACAGTGCCACAGTGGGCAGACACTACACTGGGGACAGGCACCTCATACGGTCCCAGAATTCTCACTAGGTCTCAGTGAGACTCAAGGTGAATCATTTTCTCTCTTGGTGACTCACTTTCTTGATCTGTGAGACAGGGATAATAAACACTTATATCACCCATCTCCCAGGGGTCTCGTAAGAATTGAGGGTAAGATAATTGCTGTGGAGGCATGTTGGAAACAATATGAAAGGCTGTGGATGGAAGGTGTTATCAAAATGACCCGTTCTGAGTAGGCAGCATGGTAACACTATTTTTAATCTTGTTTGCTTTTGTCTAAAACCATTATTGCTGCTAGACAAAATACAGCTTAGATTAATTTTAATATCTGAATTGAAGCAAATTCTTCTACTTAACCTCTTATAACTAGTTAAAACAAATGGTACAATTTTAACTTCCTAGAAATGTTAGTCAGTGGCTCTAGACAATGAGACCAATTATGGTCTCTCCCACTAAGAGGAGCTAAAAGGCCATCCTTTTAACATGAAATGTGTTCATATCCCATGAGCAGTCTCCTGGCATCTAAGATTGCTTTCAGAACTCACATGTCCTTCCCAAAAGAACTTAATGTGAAAAAGGAGAGATGCCACCTAAAGAAATTCCAAACCAATACAATTATCTCCAAACCTGTATATTTAGTTGCCTCCTGGACATCCCAGTTGCATGCGCCACAGGAACCTCACATTCAACATGTTCAAAACTGAACTCACCACTCCCTCCTCTGTTTTCAGACTCAATAAATGGCAATTCTTCAAGTTAACCTAGTTTGCTCCTTCCCACTCAATGCCTAAGAATAACAGGATTCTTTTCTAAAAGATTCTAACCAACGCCATGCCCTCTAATAGGGGCACTGCACGTGTGATCTCAGTATCCCCACAACAAGTCTATGAAGAAAGCATTACTTTACAAATGGGGAAACATGCTATTAAGCTGGAGGCAGAACTGGAATGTGAACCTACATCAGGCTAACTTTAAAGTCCCGTTCCTTTGATGATAGCAGGATGCACTTCAGCCACTAAACTCCCTAATTTTTTCTACTTTGTCTCTGAATTCATCACTTCCACTGCCTTGGTTCAGGTACCATCACACCATCACCTCTGGCTTGGATTGCTCTAGGAGCCTCCTTTACTGCTTCCAGACTACCCGTGACCCTGACCCTCATCCCCATGGCTACCAAAGAGAACTTTTCAAAATGCACAGATGATCATGTCATTTCCCTACTTTAAATTCTCAATAGCTCCCAAAAGCTTCCAATAAGTGTGCAAATTCTTCAACCCCACGTTTCTAGAGTCACCTTCCACCATTCTCCACACAGGTCCTTGGCTCCAGAGATGCTATTTGCAATTCCCTGAATGCACTGTACTAATTCCTATTTCTCTGTCTTTGAATATGTCCTCCCACCACTAAAATGACTGCATTAGTCCACTTCTGTTGCTTACAACAAAATATCTGGTACTGGATAATTTATAAGAAAATGAAATTTATTGCTTACAGTTTCAGAGGCTGGGAAGTCCAAAGTCCAGGGAACACATTTGGTGAAGGCCTTGGAGGTGGCAACAGTGACCCAGGGGTCTCACATGGCACAAAATGGTGGAGCAGAGAGAGAAATAGCTCCTCCTGCACTCTCCTTTTAAAAACCCTCAGAACCACACCCATAACCACCATTTTTAATCTATTCACCTCAGCATGGTCCTACAATCTAATCACCTCTTCAAGGCCCCACCTTTCAATTACCATAATAGGATTTCCTGCCCTCAACAGTCACAGTAGGGGCCAAGTTTCTAATACATAACACTTGGGGGACACAATTCAAGCCTCAGTGAGTTTGCAGGGGCAGGGGGGACATTCAATCCACAACAATGACCTTCTCCTCCTTTCATCCTCTATTCAACTGCTACTACTCCTTCAAAAGTCAGCTTAAATGTCCACCTTCATTAAGAAGTCCTCCTTCTCTGACACCCACAGTCTCAGAGAAATACTCCTGTAGAGACAGGTCTTTCATTCATTCATTCATTTATTCGCTCGTTCATATAAGAAACAGACAAACACCACAGGCTTCCATTAAATTCAGAGTGAAGTGAATTTAAATAAACCAACTCTCTAAACTCCAAGGTTTTCTATGAAGTGATCTCCAGAGTGGTCAGGTTTGAGAGAGATAGTTTTCCAAATTCATATTGGCCAAGTTCACAGTCTACCATTCCCTCTCAAACAAAAGGATTCCCCCTTGGTCCCCAGACCCACTCTCAAGTGACTACCTCCCTTTGGGCTTTCCTCAGCCAAAATGGACAGGAACTGAAGGGAAGGAAAGAGAAGGGGAGGGAAGGGGCAGGGCCTTGCTGAGCACTTGTGATATCAGACAAGGGTACCATCTAGTCCTCTGTTGTCTACACAGTCCTTACCCAGGCTGGGTACGGGCCCGATGCTCTAGAGCCAAAATAGCAGTGCCATAGGATATAGGTAGGGTAGCAGCTTCTCGTAGGGAGACCTTGTCTGGAATCTGCCACAGGATCTATAAAAGGAGGTAATGGTAACTTAAGGATTAAGCACATGCACCTAGTCATAAAGGCTGCTCAGTAAATATTCTGATTGAGAGACTGACTTGCAAAGGGAAACACATGCCCATAACCAAACCCAGTGGAAGTGAAGAACAAGCAAGCTGTGGCAGGGTTCAGGGCTTGAACTTCAAACTTCAAAACCCCACGGCTGGCATCTGGCTCAGAGAGGAGCCAAATTACAGAAAATAGAACAGAGATCTCTATACTATAATGGGTGAATTGTATGGTGTGTAAATTTTACCTCAATAAAGCTGTGGGGGAAAACTGTACGCCGCTCACCACTAGGGGGCACCATTCACATCCTGCACAACCATACCAGGCCACCCTGGCTGGGTCCATTCCCAGGGCTCTCTCTTTCATAGCGTTGTCCGGAGAAGTCCATTACATCCAGCTCAGAGCCCCAAACTAGTTTTTCTACCAAAACTACCTAATTATGGTTCAACTGAACAGCCAGCCAGTTGTTCAGAAACTCAGAAAACAAATGCCCTTCTTCATTAAAACACTTGACACAAACAAAGCTCTGTGCAAGTGATTTCACGCCAATAAAGAGAAGGAGTTTAGCATTTGAAAAAAAAAAAAGAAAAAGCACCATGGCTGAGAAACAAGATATGACTAAACAAATACAAAGAAAAGGGAGAAGTGGATGATAAGAAATGAAGGATAGGTGAAAATTGAAGAAAACAAAGGAGAAAAAATCTCCAAGCATTCAACATGAAAGGTAGGGATACCTTCTGGTCGACGATGCATTCTTCAGCCATAGTATTAAAGCCACTCGTGCCAATAACTCGATCTCCCTGAAAAAAAAAAAAAATAGCATTAAGGATATGTTCAAATGCATGGACTTGCATTCACCTCTCCCTAAATAAATCAAAAAAGAAAGAAAATACCATCTCTGAACCCATAAGACACAGGTTGGCCTTAATTATCTATTCAGAATTAATGTTTAGTAAGTAAAACAGCTATTCTCTCAATACCACCACCAGGTTGCCAAGCCAATCTGAGAACGTTTTAGACAATGATAGGACAGCGTAAGGAAAAGATTGACATGAATTAGAATCCCAGTGTTAGTCTCTTTCACGAGAGGCACAAACTTGAGAAATCTCTGTCCTCTCAGTGACTAAAGACCAAGGTTCTACCTTTTATTCACAATAAAAAGTTTAATAAAGCCAGGATCTTCTACCAGCTTCCTTCTTCAATTCAGAATTAGTTTCTTCCCCTTCCATCTTGGTTGCCCTGTGGTGTCTGCTGGCAAAGGCCAGGAGAAGCAAGACCCTTTGGCTACAAACAAGGTTAGCACATTTCTCATAGCTACATACTACACATTGATTCCCTAGATTTCAACTAATTTACCTTTTTCACTGTGCTGACATCTGTGCCTGTCTCCAGTACTGTCCCAGAAAACTCCATTCCTAAAACATATTGTTTAAAGATTAGGTTATCCCCAAAGCCTAGCACCACAGAGATGAGAGAACCCTGATCAACAGGCCATTCCATCAGATTTTCAGAGCTCACAGGATTTAGATGATTCTCACCCTTTCCCCACCCAGGCAGAGGAGAAAGAGTGCTGTACCCAAAGCAAAGGAAAGTGAGCAGAAGATTTCATGGTCACAACCTGGAAAGCTATAGCTGTCCCATTCTTATCACAACACAAATGAAATTTACCAGAATGTGCAAAAGCACAGAGAATCGCAGGTGCACAGCTACTTTTAACCCCGATCACTGGACTCCTACAGCACCCCAATTAGGATGTTCATCATATTGTATTTATCTGTTTTCATGTCTCCTGTGCTGTACTGTGAGGCCCTCAAGTGAACTCTGTTTATTCAGATGGTATGTGGCTCCACTGGATGAATTGGTGGTGTCTGCCCTTTCCTCTTCCACCTCCGAAGTTTCCGAATTTAATGATAATACATTTCCTACTTGAGCTGCCAGGGGAATAACTCAGCTGAGTTATGACATCTTCCCCCCATCCAGCATTTCAGGAAATACAAACAGAAGGAAATGGTTCCAACTGTTGAGACATAACCAAACACCCTAAGACCAAAACACAGCAACTATTTTGCAATCACTATATCCTTACTAGTAAATATCCGTATAAAATATACATGTCCTGTATACTTGCTAAGCTATACTTATATCTCTTTAAATAAATTTCCACAACAAAAATCAGGCATTTGTCCACAGATTCAGGATCTAAAGTAATCAGATTGGACATAATGAAAATCAGACAGTGGGCTGTTGAGAAATGTATAAACTCTTTTTCTTCTTTATGATCCTCTGGCATTTGGTTTCTTTGGCAAAGTGTTTGTGAGGCTGAAAGTTTTAGCTGCAAACAGATGTTTGTGATCCTTTTATTTTGTTGTTGAAGAAGCAAAACTGAAGCAATACCAAGCAAGAAAAGGAACTGACTAGGGCTAATGATGATTCTGATGAACGGAATTCTGGTGAATATAATGACATGTGAAAATTCATTTGTCCATTTATTAATTTTTAAAGTACTTATGAGCCAAGTACAACATGAAGCTGGAGGATATAATGGTGAGCAAGACAGTCATAGAATCTGCCCTCGCAGGGCTCAAAATCTAGTGGTTCTAATTAACAGTGAGGCTGACATATCAAACTGAAACATCCCTGATGGCAGGCAAACACTCAGAGTAGTGCCTGAGATGAAGCACATGGTTCTGAAAATCTCTGTATACTCTTTTCCTGAAGCAGTTATGTGGCACTTAGTCCCCCCATACTTACCAGGTATGAAGGGAAGATGGGGCCTTTCCTGATACTGACCACGGCAGACCAAAATATCAGCAAAGTTAACTCCACAGAAATGGACATCAACTCTGACCTGCAAAGGAAATAGAGCAGCAAAGCAGAGCAGTACTTTGTACATCCATGGAGACAAAGTTCAACCAATTAAACCAAAAATATTTACTGAATGACAGCTATATGCCAGGTACTAAACTAAGAGCCTGTGTACAATCATGAGACAAAAGGGACAAGGTTTCTGCCTTCATGGAGCTAAAACTATAGTAGAGAAGACAGGCAGTAATTAAATAACAATGAAGATATATGTGCTAAATTAGAACTCCAATACAAAGTGTTAAAGACAGAAATACATGGTGCTGTGAAAGCACATAATGGAGAGATTTGACCTTTTGGAGAAGTCAGGAAAAACATCTCTGAGAAAGTAACACTTGAACTAAGAATACCTAAGAGTTAACTATTCAGTATAGGAAGGGAAAAGCTTGGCAGAGACAAAAGCATTGGCATGTGCAAAGGCCCTGCCGCAAGGATAAAAGAAAAACCAGTGAGCCTAACACAGAGAGGAGAAAAAAATGGGGCTAGAGAGGGCAGAATTTGCACCACACTTCATTGAAGATTCTAGCTTTCATACTAGGAACACTGGGAAGACAATAGAGGGTTTTAAACAAAATAGCAACATGACCTGCTGTTTTGTGAATCTGGAATCCCAGAAGCTACTCCTAGATCCCCAGCTTCTGTGTTTCGGACAGTGCCATAAACAAAGGCAGACATGTAGCTGTGTAGCCATCAGTTTCTCCAGAACTTGTAAGCCAGTGGTTCTCAAAATGTGGTCCCAGACCACCAGCATGGGTACCATCTGGGAACTTGTTAGAAATTCAAATTCTCAGGCCCCATCCCAGACCTACTGAATCAGAAACTCTGGAGACAAAGCTCAGCAATCTGTTTTAACAAGAATCAAGGTGATTCTGATGCATGCTAGAGAACTACTGCCATAGACCAACACATGCCAACACGGGTTGAAATCACAGGAGGAAATGAAGGCTAAGACAACAAATAGACGATATTTACTTGTTTGTATAAATTTAGTAGAGAGGTGACAGGTGACTGTATTGGTGAGAAGACATTTTTACCCGCAAAATTCATTCATTCAACAATTTTTTAATTATCTGCCACATGCCAGGCACCATTCCAGACGAAGGGGGTTTAATGGCGAGTAAAACTAACATAGTTGCAGCTCTCATGAGCTAATTCCTTACAATGCACTGTCTGGACAAATGACAGAACAAAGGAACCCAGCCCTCAGCCTGTGCACATTCTGTGCGTGACACAGTTGTTGGCAAGCTTAAGACCCACATACGTTCTCAAGCCACCCCACCTTGACTTAAGGATGATTCAAGAATGAACATCTCTCGGCATGTGAGTCCCAGGAAGCAGACTGGCTGCCATCATGTACTTCTCCAAATAATCCATTTCAGCCACAGGCTCCATGTTCGTGACACTTCAGGGCTCCAGCTGCATTCTCCCTCTCACCAGTGATCCCCAACACTGAGGCCCATCATCTCTCGGCATGTGAGTCCCAGGAAGCAGACTGGCTGCCATCATGTACTTCTCCAAATAACCCATTTCAGCCACAGGCTCCATGTTCGTGACACTTCAGGGCTCCAGCTGCATTCTCTCTCTCACCAGTGATCCCCAACACTGAGGCCCATTGCCCACTTCACCCTGTCAGAGGTTATATAACTTGCAGGTGCTTATGCAAAGTCGTGTGCAAATCAGAATTCTCTGTTTCTAAGGCAACAGCTCTGGAGCCTCAGAAAAAGGCCTATCCGTGTGTTTTGGGGAACAATCTTCCATTAAAGCACTTTTCAGCCTTTCTGAGAAGGCTTCTACTTTTCGGCCCAGGAAGAAGTTGCGCTCCAGCCTCCCGGTCGCCCCCTAGCTTGGGAACCGGGAACTAGATGCAGGAAGGAAGCCTGCGGTGTGGGTGTTGGCGGGGAGAAGGGGAACGTGAAAAGGGTGTCGAGGGGTCCCGGAGACAAGCCAGACACCCTACCTCGTGAGGCCGGACAGGGCGGGGGGCCACCTCCTCAATGGCCAGGGGCTGCTTCAGCTCGGCGCAGAGCGCGGCGCGGTAGTGCCTGCCGCAGCCCTGCCCGGCCCTCCTGCAACGGGGAACAAGGGCCGGGTTACCCGGGGCGCAGCCCGCGGCTGCCGTGCGGGGCTCCGGGAAGAGTCGGGGTTGCACCTGCAGAGCCACGCCCGAGGGAGGCACTGTCTCCAAAGCACCACCGCCATGGCCCCGCCGACTGAGTGCGAGGGGGAGTGGTCGGAGCGTGGCAGGAAGAGCCGGCCAGCGCCGGCCACGCCCCGGGGACAGCGGAAGGGCGTCCCGCCAGGCGGCCGGAGGACGCGCCCCGGCGGCCCGCTGCCACCCGACCCAGGGGGACGGCGTCGCGCTGTGCTGCCGGAACAAAGGGTGCGGGCCTCGGGCCTCGGGGCGTCCGAGTCCCCTCTTCCCCGCAGGTTTCCCTAGAGGTTTAGCCCGCTGGAGATGGGGGGAAGGGGAGTGTAAGGAATTAGATTACCACTTTCGCTGGCATTTTGTAGCAAATTTGGTAGACTTTTTTTTTTTCCTTTTTGTCTTTTTTCTGTGTCCGGCAACGGATCGCAACCCTCAGTGTCACCCCCTTACCGGACCGGGACCGGCAACGGGATCGCAACCCTCGGTGTCGCTCCCACGCCTCGCTCAGCCAGTGAGCGGGCGGTCTGTATGTGGGATCCGAACCCTCGGCGGGAGC